TCCGGCTATTTAATGGCTTGTATGCTTCTTGAAAAAGTAGATTCCTATGGCTAGGGAATTTTAAAGGTAAAGGAAGCTGTACCATAGAATTTCCTTCTTCAAATAAAGTACATCTGAAATATTGGCCTAAATATGCTCCCAACCCAGATTCCCGATTCACATTTTCAGAAGTCCTTTGACTTTTAGTTACTATATTCACAATCATGTGATGATTGTTGACCACAATTTGACTAGGCAACATACAAAATAGGGAATGAAGGAGCTGCAGCCCTTAATACCGGCAAAATTATGGGGATATATTTATGTCTGAAGAAAGATGCTTCGTGTATAACCTATGGCATGTGCAATATATGCATAGATATATTCAAGGCTCTTCATAGCCATTTGCTCCCTGTACATGTATACAGAGACCAGCTTTTGGGTATTTCTACGCATGTACAGGGAGCAAATGACTATGTAAAATAGTCTTTTTACATAGGCGATATGTAAAAACACAGACTACCATGGCTTTGATTTGAAAGGGCTCCTTTTAAAAATCCTCCTTTAGGCTTTCGACCTGGTCATCTCATTCAGTTTTTTCTTATTTATACTGTTGTTTTATACCCAGGCTAGCATGCAGTTCTAGAATTACAATGACTTTAGGTATCCAGGCAAGATACCTAGTAGGTTGGAGGAAGTGGGAGTGTAAGAGGCTAGGAAGAGGTGGAAGGAGGCGGGACTTGGCTTGTTGGCCTTTGCAGTGGTTGTTTGTTTGTTTGCTTTTTGCTTTTAAATATTGCTTCCAAATCTCAAAGTGACGCTAGAAGCACTGGTTTGATGTTTATGGGCCTAATGATTGCTGCATTTATTACAGGTGAAGATATGGTTTCAGAACAAACGCTCTAAGTTTAAGAAACTGCTGAAGCAGGGCAGTAATCCTCATGAGAGTGACCCCCTTCAGGGATCAGCGGCCCTGTCGCCGCGGTCGCCAGCGCTGCCTCCAGTCTGGGACGTTTCTGCCTCGGCCAAGGGTGTCAGTATGCCCCCCAACAGCTACATGCCTGGCTATTCTCACTGGTACTCCTCTCCACACCAGGACACGATGCAGAGACCACAGATGATGTGAGTTGTCCAAGGGAACACCCTAGGGAAACCTCTGAACAAGGAAAGGAGAATCGGGACCTGCTTGTATCTGCGAAAAAGAGCCGAAGGAGCAGGCTTAGAACTCACAAGTGTGGCGAGAAGCCAATTAGGCTCATATTCTCTCTCTCTCTCTTTCTCTCTCTCTTTCCCTCTCCTTCTCCTTTCTTTTCACTTCTTTCTTTCTTCCATTCCTTCTTTCCTTTCCTTTTCCTTTCTACCTTTCTTTTCTTTTTTCCTTTCCACTTTTTTTCTCATTTACCTTCTCTCTTGAGCAATGTCAGTAATTGATCTTGCATCTCAGAGAGAGAAAAAGAGTACGTGTGAGAGAGAAACTGGTTTCTATGCCAGCACTCCTGAAACCCCTTACTGTAAGGATATTAGCCCTTACCCCTTGGGATCCAGGCTCTGAGCTTCTACTTCTTGGGAGAATCCATCAAAATGACTTTTTTAAAAAACAGATTTTCCCCCCACCAGAAGAATCTGTACAAACATGGCAGCGTTTTTACTTGTTTAATGAGTTTAAGACATTACATGATGAAAGAGAAGCATTTCGGACTCCTGCATTTTTATTTACCATTCCTAGACTGACAAGAAAAAGAAAAACTCTCACATAACAGCCCTTCTCTAAAGAGAAAGGAAAAAGTGGCTATAAGATTAGAACGTTGCTACAAAGGGAATGCTGCATGTTTTATCAAAATGCAATGACCAGGAATGATGGTTGATTAAAAAAACAAACAAAACAAAAACCACTCTTTCCCCACCCGCCCCCAAGCCCTGAACTGGAATCAGGAAAGACGGAGGAAATAATCAGAATCACCATTCTATTGCTTTGACACCTTTACTAAGTGAATTGGTGGCATTCACTAAGCTAATAGGGACGTTTATATCAAGAAACATTTCTGTATATATTGTTGAATTTTAGTTGTACATATACTTTGTATGTTTTTGTCTTCTTTCATATATGGAGTAAAAGCCACAAAATGCTAAGAGTGTCTTGTATATTTCTCTCAGTGTGTGTCTCTGTCCCTCTCTTTCCTCCCTCCTCCCTTACTTCCCCTCCCCCCTTATATTTTCTATCACCCTTAAGAAATTCTATTTCCAAATATGGGAAGTCAAATGTATGTGTGTGTGTGTGTGTGTGTGTGTGTGTGTGTGTGTGTGTATACACACAAACACACATATATATAAACATCAAGTGTCTGCAAAGATGTCAGTTTGCACTGCTAGCCTTTGTCTTAAGTACTTTAACAGTAACCACAGATGTCTCTCAGCTTTCTTGACATATTATGTTTTTATTGTAGTTTCTACACATGTATCTACTTTTTAAACATTAGAATGACCTATCCTCAAGTTAACCTCTAGTCATCACAGTAGTTTCTGGTGCTGAAACTGAGTATTCTCCTTTCCCTTTTCCCAGCCAAAATAACACAGCCATATTTGTCTTTGTTTGGATGCAGTTTTAAAAAATACAGGAAAGAAAAAAATAGAAAGTAGAGTATACCATTATGCCTACTTAATGTTTAAAACCCATTGCCAGCTAGCTAGGTAGGAAAATCCACTAACCTAAATGAAATACATCCTTCCGATCTTGGGGAAAGCACAGAAATAATGAAAATGAAAATTCTTTTCGTCATACAAGCAGGAAGCCCCATACTGCGAGAATTAATGGCTACAGACCTGGGCATCCTTCAAATTATGAACCTTGAAACCACTGAGCCATTTATCAGAAGTCAATAGAGATACTCAGAGTGCTCCATATAATGACAGCGACATACAGTCGTGCAAAAGGACAGTCACTATAATTAGACACAAAGCAAAGACTACTTACCAATATACCCGTTCCTTTTTTTGTTGAGCAACTTCCACGCTCAGTCAGTCTTCAGAATGGTTTAAAACCGATCAGTCTTGTCATTTTCTAGCATTCGTATTGTTACATTAGGAAAAATGTTTTCTTTTCTTTTTTCCCCCTTCCTACTGTGAAACTTTGGGTTCGTAGCTCCCCAGGATCAATTCTGAACAAAGCCTCCAGCTGCAGTACCATCCAATTTGAAGCAGACATTGGGGACAATTTAAGGTTTTTATCCACAAGAAGGTTTTTTTCCATTCTCTTAAATGCAGCCATAATTAGAGTAATTTTTCATGTAGCCCGCTGATTACAGCGTTTTTACCGTCAAAGATAATTACCTGTAATTTTCTTCCACTTTTAATACTAAAAAGCCATCTTTATTTAGATTCAGGAACAGGAAAGGCGAAACAAAAGAGGGAAATTATTCTGTTATTCATACACAAATTGCAGAGACGTAGGACCTAAAATTGAAAATTAACCAAAATTATAATGCTGAAAAGAATGGAAGAGGCTGCAGAAGTACAGCTGGTAGTGGGGCTTTGCTGAATTATTCAAATTACGTTATGGAGAAAGCTACCATACATCGAAACCAACACTAATTTTTCTTTAAAAAAAATTCACCAGATACAAGCCAAACCACTGTGAGTGCATAAAATTCTGAAACCCTGCAAATGCATGTTGACATATTGGAGGTGTTGTCACAATGCATTTGTATCGATCTCTTCATCTCATATCAGGAGTTTAATTAAACAAGAAACTCTGCCAAGTGGTCGCTCCAGACTGCCCTTGGAACTGGGCTTTCTCTGGATTCTCTGAACCTCAAGGGTTAATATTTTCACTCCTTAGAATGTTTTGACCCTATGGTAAGCAAATTCCCGAGGGAGGGATTGGTAGGAGGGGCGTGGGCGAAAGGCATCGCCCAGTGGTGGTGCCTACTACGCCTCCCCACGTTCGAACTCCTCCAGAGGTTGCAGAGTTCGAGTTCTGGAGCCTCGTTCTGACCATATTTCCTATTTAAAAAGAGATAAAGAGGAGGAGAGAGAGAACAATAGCTGGGGGTGGGGTAGAGGAAGGAGGGGGTGAAGGGAATGATTTCTCTTCTCTTCGGCACCAATAAACATCTCATTATCTTTTGACACAACTTAGTCAAAAGGTTTCTGCCCCCGGAGAAAGGCCTTTTTGCACTGGGATGGGAAGCCAAAAATTTCTCCAGCACTTAACATCTCTAGCTGCTTACAGCATTTACAGGGTCAGGAAACAGCGTCATCTATAGATAGAACAGCATGGCTTCTTGCTGGAGTCTTCCTTGGTGCGTTCCTAAATCTGGGTTTTCTAGCTCCCCAGCTGGGTTCTGCGTCTCAGCCAATCACGCCCCTCCAACCCCAAGGTCACAGCGTTTGTGCTCCGCGGGCAGTAACTCCAAGAGCCTCATAGCCCCTCCAACCTCCACCGCCTCCACACCCGAGCTTGAGGCCGGCTATTTCGGAAACCTCCCAAATATGTCGAAGGGGCTACACCGTCCAGAGTTTCATCAGACTACACCTGCCTTTGCAAATGTCCGCATGCCTGTGGTTCTAAAGGAGCACAATCGCAAGCTCCGTTTGATATCTTGTCACCTCAAAATCTAAAATCATGGCCACATGAAAAGACCTCTCTGGATTCACCTAGAATTAGCTGTGAATAATAATTTTCAAATAGATTTTAGCTTGGAATCTCCAGCCGAGTCTCTCCACACCTTATAGAAAAATGTCCTTTTCCCAGGCTTCAGTCACAAGCTGCACCAAATACATCAACGACGTAGAAAACAAGAAAGACAAACGAATACTTCAGGATTCCATTCTCACTCGAATCCTTTCACTCACCAGAACAACACCACTTTTTACTGTTAAAGGGGATAAAAGGTCAGCATTGAACAACATATAAAGCAAAGTTGTAGCCCATAATAAATTATAACGGCAACACGTATGTCTTGGAAAGTGTGAGAAGAGAAATAAGAACTGTTCCTTGAAGTATGCAAGAAATAAAAACTTACCCTTAGTGAGTATCTCTTAAGCAATGATCAGGGTCTAGAAATCTATACTGAACCGAAGCACAGGAGAATATTTTTCTGAGTCTCAGGGCAGAAGCTCTTTCTCTATATTCTTGGTTGAGTGAGCACATCCAGGTGTGAAATTGTTTGCACACCCCAGCACCTCTTATATTGCCAGCAAAATTAGCTGTTATTACTGTCACTGTTTAGTGATGGTTAGCGTGGTACAAAAAAAAAAAAAAAAAAAAAAAAACTGCTGTAATCAAGACCTGGCGCATCTTTGCAAATTACAGATAATTGTAAACGTCCAGATTATGATAATAGCATCCTAATCCAGCCTGCAATATAATTATTACAGAGTGTTACATCTGAAACTGTCCAGTAGGGCTAATTCAGCCATTATTTAGACCCTATTTTTGCACTGCAAATGGGTTGCTGAGTTGAAAATGTACGATTGTAATTTCACAGGGCACTCAATGAGTAATGGTATAGGAAGAGGAAAATACAAAAGTGAAATGTGAACAGTAGCGATCAAATCAAACCCTGAAGGACAAAAGACTGTTTGATTCATATGGAAAAAGAAGAGTGAGAATTAAGAAAATAGCAAATGAGTGGTCTGAAGCATTTCATGTCCAAATCTTCAATAGTGCAGGGCTGATGTGTTTGCAAGAGCTGCTGCATCTGCTGCTGCCTGGAGTCTAAAATAATTTTTCTTTTGCTTTTTTTCCCAACCCCCTGTCTTCCCCCTCCCCTCTCTCTCCAGAAGCGCTTTCCTGCTTTAAAAAGGTGCCCCTCCCCCAAAGCAAAGAACATTTGTCAATTTTGCCATTGTTTCTACAAAATCGCTTCAAAGTGTGCCTGTCACTTGTTTATGAACATTTTCTTAAATAAATTTGCACTCTCTCTTGTTATCCGAGCAAAATGCCCTTGGACACTTACAAGTGTTCCTGTCCTCTGTCTTCATTCTCTTTCACCACTAAGTCATCTAGAATCCTAGAGGATATTAGCAGAAAATGTATTAATTGCTGCTGATTAAATATAGCCGGCTGGGAAGCTGTCTTCTCCAGTTGGGTTGGCTATTGGTTTTAATCCTATCATTAACTTTAATTAATTAATAAACCCCCTCCATATAAAACAGTCCAGCTGCTTTCTTTGCTACATGTCATCAACGTGTTAAAATGAGCAAGGTCAGTCTTATTAAAATATAGGAAGACCAAAGAAGGAGAGAGATAGAGCAAGAGAGGGAGAGATAAAGCAAGAGAGGCTGGAGAGAGGCTGGGGGACTATGCTGGGCCAAGAGTCAAAGCGCACTAGGGGTTCAAGTTTTTGCTTCCAGAAGGATGAACCCTGCCCTGGTAGAGGGTTCTGGAGTCTAGTTCTGGTTCTTGGTGGGGACCTCCTAGTCAAAGATACCTAAAGCCCCACATATTCCCAGGAGCTCAATTTTCCCACTAGCAGCACAGAATTTCCTAGGCAGCTTTTCTAGCCTCCAGGTCAGTGTGTGTCGACTCTCCCTCCTCCCACCACTTCACAGACCCGGGAGCTGCCCAACCAGGGCCACCCTGCAGGGTGGCTAGCAGGCTTCCTAGCTCTTGTGAATTTAAGGGCAATAATGAAATGTCCCCTGTTTAGTGACCCCTGTTTATAGATGAAAGTTGAGTCTATATCCTGCTCTTCCTCCGCCCCTCTCCCCGGACCTTGCAAATGGCAAGTGGTAGAAATAGTCCTGGATGACAATAAGCTTCCATTGGCAGGTTTCTGTCTTCTCGCTTATCGAGAAAAAAAAAAGAAGCCTTTTAAATAAATCTTAGCTTAGGAACTGTTTACCACCCTTCACCCCCACCCACTTCTTTAAAAAAAAAAAAAATACACTAGACTGCATATGGTGAAGATTCCACAGAGAATCCCTACCGAAACTAGGAGGGAGGGTATGTGTGTAGAGTGATGTTATGAAGCCATTTTTTTTCCTTCCTGTGGTGAAAGGTCGTAATGTGTGGTATTTCACGGTTTTATATAAATCTTGGTTTAGGATGTGGAACAGACTCAATAATACATGTGCTTTTGGCAGAGACTCCTTCGGATCCCCATAAATCAGAAGTAAATAAGAAGTCCAAGTGAACAAAAGAGCAGAAACATTTAATTGATGCAAAACAGGACTCTCATCTCCTTTAAAGAGAGATTCATGTAAATTCCCTTAGTTCCTATCTTCACGGTTAGAGTCTGACCTATAAAACAGGTTATTACATTACAGCCGGCAGTCTTGGATGATTGAAAGGAAAGGCTCCCCATCCGCAACACACACTCATACACGCACACATACACACACACGCAGTACATACAATGTATACTTTCTGCCCAGCACCACTGAGGAATCTAAAACCTGTCAAATGCAACAGAAAACAACGGGGGTGGGGGGAAAGAGACAGGGCTGCGTAAAAAATATTTAACCAATCCCACATGTGCCACCGCTATTTGGGCTATTTTTAAGGCCCAGAGTTCGCTGCGACTGGGATGAGGTTGAAAAACACCAAGCACTGTGTGCAAAGACCGCGGGCAACTTGAGAGCGCGAGCCGAAGCCGAGAGCAAGCCGCAGCGCCCCCTCCCCAAGCTCCGGAGCGGCGGGAGCCTCCACCAGTTACTGTTGGGGCAAGGGGTGCTTAAGGGTGGAGGAGCGGGGTGACCGCAGGCGGATCCGCCGGCGTGGCGCGCTTCCCAGAGGTGCCCGAGGGCGTCTGCCCTCTGGGTGTGCCTCCGGGGAGGGCTAGAGAGCTCTAGGTTGGCAAGATCCCAGTGGCCAGTGGGAGGCGCGCGATCCAAGGGGTTGTAGGGATGGGGCGGAGAGGAGGGGTGGTTGGGTAGCCCGAAATGTCTCTCTCCCGGAATACAGGGAAGCGCTAAGAAGGAGGATGTGGGGGCGGTGTTCCAGAAGGCGTCCCAGGCGCTTCTGGCGGGAGAGCCCAGGAGACAGCGTTGTCCAGGCTGGAGTGAGCTATAGGGCGCGCTGGGAGGAGGCGAGCGCAGCCTGGCTTTGGCGCGCTGTGGGTAACTCCCAGGACTGCGCGGCCAGGACGCCGCGAGCCGTGGGGCGTCGGGTGGGATCAAAGGAACCAGAGGAGGCCCGCCGGCGCGTCTGGGATTGTGGGATAAGGGGCGGGAGAGAGAAGAGTGACTTGGGCGGGGAGATCCTGGCCTGGCCTGTGTCACGGGAGGGGGTTGTGTGCGTTTGTGTCTTTGTGCGGGTCAACGCGCTCCGGCCTGAGGCCGATCCCTGGGTGGATCCGAGTGTGAGTGGACAGGATCCCGGGTGGGTGCCTCGACGGGAGGGAGAGAGAGCGAGAGAGCGAGCGAAGTCAAGGGCAGCGAGGTCTGTGGGTTCCTCTGTGTGTGTGTGTCTCAGGCCCTGTGGCTCAGCACTGGAGCCGCCTGGCACCCACAGGAATGCGGCTTCTCTCGGATCCCCAGGCCGCCCCTTGTCCCACAAGGAGGTGGCCGCCAGGAAAAAGGGGGGAAAAAGGGCAGAAATCCGCCTAGCCCAACACGAACTTCAAACAAAGGCCAATTTATCTGATCTCTTACAGGGGGGGCCCAAGAGGCGGACTGGGCACCGGGGAATCGCGCTGGCCCTGCCTGCCTGCCCAGCCTTCCTGGGCTTTGTGAGGAGCTCTGAAGATGGGGGTGAGGTGTTGGAATTGAGGGGTGAGAAGTGTGAAGACGCCACTGAAAAGAGCATTAATCTTGGAAAAGGCTTGATTCGTTTTGGGAGCACTAGACGGAGAGCTAGGCTAGTGGGAACCGGAAGGGGAAGGCAGGAAGGGGTCGCCCAGTGCGATGTCGAGAGTGGGGCCAGCCGGTCCGGGAATATGCTGGGGAGTGGAGCACATTTACATTCGACGTAGGAATGAACAATGAAGAGGAAGAGAAGGTGGAAGGGAGGGCAAAAGAGAGAAACATCACATAGATATTTTTAGACTTTGCTGAGGATCTGTTATTTTTACATTCTTGGGCGCAGAACTGCAGGGAGTTAAATTCCCCTGAGAGAATCCCCAGGGTGCCAGGGAAAGCCCGCTGCAGACTGGTTTACCAGAATATTTTTGTCCACGGCTCCCAGACCAAGCTAAAAAATAAAAACCACACGAGAGAAGAGGGCTTTGCGAGTGGAAAAAGTGAGGTTAGCACAAGAGAAGGAATCTTGAAACCAAGTCTGTCCGCGCGGGGTTGGGCTGGGCCACCTCGCAATGAGGCTTTAGTGATCTTAACAGCAAGCCGCCAGCCTCAAAGCTAGGGTTGGGGAGTGGTCATTTATAAAGAGCGTCCCTCATTCTCTAGAAGAATCCGAACCCTCCCTTCCCTCAGCCCGGCTGCGCCTGGTGTTGGGGATGTTGAAGTGATACCCCTTCTTTTCCACCAGCAATGGGGCTGAGGAGATGATAGGGACAGATGGAAAAATATCTGCCCTCTTTGTGTGCAGAAAGGAAATATTATGTTGCAACCACTTTCTTGCCACTCTCAGGCAGCCAGTAGGTGAGAAATATTGAAGGTGTGCAGTGGGTGTACCCCAACCCCCAAACTTCCCGAACACGCACCCCTTGTCAGGGAAAGGCGTCCGCACAGAGGAAAGCCAGGAGCTGGCACACCGTGGGCGCGGGTTTCTCCCAGTCGGAGTCGCCAGAAATAAAGCGCAATAGAAACTCCCGAAATCCTTACAAGCAAAGAAAGAAAAGCAGGAAGTGGGTATCTTCATCTCTTCCCCAATCCTCCTATTCTCTGTGAGTGCAGAAAACAAAATGGGTCACCATTTGGCTCCCCCCTCCCCCGAAAGCCTTCCTACTGCGCTTTCTGGCACCCAGGGGTCCTTCCGAGAACGTACGGCTGGAGAGAAATGGGGAGAGGGAAATATTGAGTCGCGGCCGCTCTGTAGTTGAGGGTTCGGGAGGAGGAGGGGTTTACAGGCCAGGCCGCCCGGCTTTGTGCTGCCTCGGAGCCAGGCAGAAGGGTAGGTCTAAAGAACGGTCAAAATATTGATTCCTCCAAGAGGCAAGCTGTTCCACACTGGCGGGCCTGGTAACTATTCTAGAAAAAAAGTAAAGGAGAAGAGAACGAAAAAAATCCAAGAGATGGAAAGGAGGTAGGGAGAGAAGAGGAG